TTTCTTAACTTACTCTCTTGAATAATTTATATAATTTAGTTATAGTTTGTGAGATATATTCACAAGAAATATTGCAAAGTGATGAAAATTGATTGAAGCAGCAAGCTGTACTCGAATCACTTTATCTGAGTGTTTGTACGTAGTTGCGGCGAACATAAAATTTAATCTCTCTAAGTAGCAGGAAATTATTTCGATGTAACCGAAATCCACTTCCAAAGTTCTTTAGATGCATCGTCTTTATTCCATCCAGATTTAAGTCCGTCTAGGGGATAAACAGAAATATGGATAAAAAAAAATGTAATGCGGGAATATTCTTCATCACAACTTTATTTCCTATTTTTGATTAATAAATTTAATTTAAATCTGTCGCTTAGACAACTAAAAGGATATTACAGCGAAATATAGGTGTTTTCGTTAACTTGTTAAAACATACAACTTCTTGAAATTTGAAATACAGAAATATTGGCCATAGAAAATTGTTCAGGTGGTTAGTAAATAAAGGAAAAAAGTTCTTTGTAGTTACCGGCACTGTTCAGTGCCACAATTATTATGAATCTTGTAAACCCTAAAAAATGGTAATCGATGTAAATCTTTATGGCTTTATCTGTATTTGGACACTCCTTTTAGGTATTACAGTAAATATTTAGTACTTATTGTTTTAAACTATAAAACTCGGACGGGTTTTAGAACTTAAAGGCTTAAGAAAATGATTCCATTAAGTTATTCTATATAGAAACAGAAACGACAAAAAAAAACTATTATAATATTATAATGTCGGAATGTTCAGATCTATTGTTTTTCTTCTTAAGACCTTCCCACAGTTCTTCTGATGTCCATATAGAGATTAAGAGTGAGATTTTTTTATTGTTTATCACGGAATGGTTTTATTAAATACTCTGAAAGCTGACGACCTTTTCCTTCACTTTCAAGAAATTTGCTATTATCTTAAGAATTGAAAATTGTAATAGGAATGCATGGCGAATAAAGTTTCCAAATTTTAAATATTTTTCGAGTTACCTAGATCAATTTCATATTCTATATATAAATAGGCAAAGATAGAATAGTACAGTACCATTTTCTCTTCTGTTTGTAGACCTATTTTTTTGTTAGTTTTGTTTACCAGCTAATATATAATAAAAAAAAGTTGGAAATAGTATATTTTTTATTTACAACCATATATGTAATGTTGTCATTACTAACGTCATTGAAGGTTGGGAAGTGTCACATTACACACCTCTACTTCCCGCCCTCATTTCATCTATTCTAGATGAATATTTTTTATATTAAAAAAAAAAAAATAACACAGTGTTTGACAAATTTTATAATACCTATTTAATGACAAACAATAAAAAACAACAATGATCTAAAATATGACAAACTACTTATTGATATTTATTATTCGCGAATTTAATATCCGGCTTTATCTGACATTTATTTATATTGGTGATAGTTGTTTACCCCGTAATCACAGTAACAATATATTTACCTACTTGATTATTCTGAGAAAACCGCGCGCTTGGTAATTTGTCGTTAAATGTAATATTTTAGGTATGTTCAGAACAAAACTGAGATTTATTAATTTTGATCGAAATATGATGGTTGTAAATAAAATAGTATACAAACCTCGGTAGGAAGTTTCATTCCTGTCTCGAGATCATAGCTAATCTCGACGCTTCGCGTCTCGGTGATTTAACTAATCTCACGACAGAAATGAAACTCTTCCCACCTCGGTGTGTAATATACTATTCCAACCTTCGATATATGGAATCCATTGATTCACATTTATTATGAATTATGATTGACTAATAAAATTAGCATATAACACCCTTTAATTAGCAAAACATTAGCAAAACGTATTGGAAAGTGTTCAATAGCCGACACTGTATACATCAAGTAACTTTTTGTTATCTTCTATAATAACGGAGATATCATCCGCTACCACTCTAAAAACTATATAACCAAATAACAAAAAGAGAATTTACTTTATTGACCTTTAAATTATATTAATTTATTATACACCGATCTTATGCTCTTGCTTTTGTCAAACATTTTTTTATTGTGTAATGAATCATAACTGTGATGTAGATGGATGTTGCTAACTTTATTAAATTACCATAGTGGCAACTTAACGCGTAATGGTCTTTAACGTTTACAGAATATATTTTTATTCACTAACATACATAGTATAGACAGTTTACAATAAAAACCTTCATCCAATTTGCAACTTGTAACATGTACCAATGATCAATTCCGGTTCTGTTTATTTTCAAGTGCTTAGATAGAATCCCGAAGAATTAAATAACTTACCGAAATAAATGTAAGTTTCCTTTATCGGCGCCAAACTTCGCACTTTTATTATAAACACAGCTTTTTACAACACACCTTGGCACTAAAATACCAAATTAATTCTCGTTGACACAATAGATTTGAATTAAATTTAGCCAAACAACACTGTGACATGTCACGTACTCATTGGTTGGTGTGAATAGTTTTGAAGTGGGATCATGCGCAATCTCTTATATTCTATCTACGGTTTGTATAGTCTAAGATTTGATCACACCTTATCAGTTCTTCATTATTAATGGTATCGATATGTTGACTTTTCTGCTAAAACTTATAGCTTTATTTGTTTTCAAGTTGAGAAAATGTATTGCGTGTACACCAATTATATAAATGCTTTAATTATTCTTGAAGTAATAAACAATCATATAAATCAAAAATACTTTTAAATCGTCTGCAAATATCAATTTGGAACGAGCGATATAGTCATTGTCAATTGATAAAATATAAGAATAGTAGAGAACTCGTATTGGACGCTTGAGAAACTCCTGAGGTAGCATAAAATATATTTGAAGAAAATTCATTGTAAGAAACATATTGTTGTCGACGAGATAAATATGAGAGGAAAAATGTTTTTATCGATGATTAAAATCCAAACTGACCTAAATTGTTCACGACGACTTTTGAGTCGATTTTATCAAAAGCCTTTTCGAAATCTGTTAAAATTACATCTACTACAATTATTAAAATCTCATGTAAAAACTAACTGGAAAAAAGTTTGATGAAGTAGAAACAGTGAAACGATTTTCCATTTTCCAAAATCATAATAAACATAATAAATAAATTTTATTATAAATGCGAATTTCTAAATTTTAGCAAAATAATTTAAGTCGAAATAGGGCGATAGTAGTTAAATAGAGATAGATCTCCTGACTTGAGAATGGGACATATGCGTTAGGTACAGCATATACTTGAGAAGAGAGTGACGTATTTAAAACTGTTGACAAAAAAGAGTTTTACCAATGTGGAAAATCTAAAAACTAGGAAGATTGATAATTAAAAAAAAGAAAAGATGACAGAATAAAAGAATGGAAAATATTATAAAATTATTGGCAAGTCTCATAACGAAAATTAAGAAAAAAGTAACAATCAGAATTAGCCAGGACTTATTGCCTTTCTAATTATGGAAATGGAACCGCTTTCATTATCTTCAAAAATAAAGAAACCACTATCTCGCCCTTCAATTATTTTTGTGACTCATACCCTTTGTGAAATCGTCCATTCAATTAAAATAAAGTTTTATAACTTTGTAGAAATTGCTCATTCTCTGTCTACCATAATATATTGATCGATTCGAATTTGAGGATAAAATAATTGAACAAAATTGCCGATTCTAAGTATTCCAAGGGAGCCATACCAATTTCAAGCACGCGCCTAGAAGAAATTTACGAGGGGCAGACTGCAAATACCTGTAACGTCTGAGAGACTACGAATTATTTTCAAACTCGAAACTCAATTTTCTTAAGTTCAATAAACCAAACAGAAATCGCTGAATAACATTTAAAAAATAAATAAAGCACCTGGATTAGATGGTATGAAAGCAGAAACATTAATAGTTATTTATGCGTAAAACAGACGTTCATGGATCGCAACGTCTAGTAAGAGCCCGAGCCGCCAGGCGAGGGCTATTAACACGTAAGGTCTATAAATGCTGTTTCTGCCAGAAATACATACATAATTTTATGCACGACCATTTTAATGACAATTTACTAACAAATATATAAAATTTTATGTACGACTGTTTTAGTGATCGTTTATTAATAAATAGCTATTGTTTTACTAACTAAATGTGAATTTTTAAAAGAAATAAAAAAAAATTCTATAACTATTTAACATTATAAGTATTATACATCCACTTTCCATTGATTAATGTAAGGGGTTACTATGAGTAAGTTTTTTTCATTACGCAATTATTTCTTTCATTATTCAATTATTATTGTCAACCACTACTTAATTATTTTTAACAAAATTCGACCACAACTACAACCTACACAAAAAATCAATTGACTAGTAGAAATATAACTACTACTGTTAATTTTCAAAACTGTTCTAATTTCACAATTAATTTTGGAATAAATAAATGAAATAAAATATTGCATAACTCTTTTCTATTATTTAATTTAATAATCATAGAAAAAGTATAGTATTCTACTCGCGGGTAATGGCTATTAATCAGTCGAATGATTACACTACTCGCCTGCAACTCGTAGTGCAAACTTCACACTATTCATAATATAGGTATCATAAACAAATTTCTAGAAGTAGAATACTTTCTGTTTTAAAAGAATTTTTTTAACATCATTTCTTAGGTTAAACCAATTTCTTGATAAATGAATTATCAGCTTCTCAATTTGAGTTTCGAGAAAATAAATCTTCCAGTGACACCATTTCCTCATTAATAAAAGACTGTGTAGACACTCTACACTAGATTAAGGAATTCCATCCATAGGTATTTTTATAGAAGGCCTTTCATAGAGTTGGTCATACTTTAGAAGCACTTGAGTTATTTAAAAATTACTTAACTAGAAGAAAACAAGGTAAAAATACAGAATAGAATAGGTGACGAAAAATAAACTACATGTGGTGATATTGTTTCTGCAGAAGTTGCAGATGAAATCACTATATAGGCGGAAATTTCATATTTTTTATTTTGAAACATTTTAAATGAAACCAACGCGGAATTTATCGCACCCTACGTTTTTCAAATCTTGTTCTTCTTCGGTGTCGCTTTCAAAAATATCTTCACAGGAAGCACAACAAATTCTGTTAGCTTCAACTTCCATTGGTATATCTATTTTTTCGTTAAGAAAAATAAAATAACTAATGTGAAGACGATAACTAGCAAGCCGGAAGCTAAAAAAAAATTGCAACTTTTAAAAAGGATACTTTGTATAGTGAACGCATATTTATTTGGAACTATTCCATGGTGAGTACAGTTGGGAGAAAATTGGCACGTGTCACAGGATAATTCTCTAAGGTAAATCGTTTCTTCATCTAAATGTGTCCAGATAATCTGGTGCAGCTTCATAGTTCCTGGGACTGGTTTTAAAGTTTTAGGCAAAGTCTTTTCAATTTTGACAATATCTGCTTCTTCAATTTGAAATAACTTTACTTTAATATCTGACACGACCTTAACAAACGAAGCAACATCAGTAGTGTCTGTCCTGCCAGCTAGTTTAGCATCACAACTTCTTTGGATGCACCAAAATGAACTGACTGCACTTCCTGGCTGTATTTGCATATACAGTTGTCACTAAAATCGATAAGGATAGCAATTTCGTTTGGTTTAAGCTTAGATTTTCTTTGTTTGAAACTATTTTGCTGATGCATAATGTTATGGGAATGCTTACAGAACTCTGGTAACAATGTATTTATTTCTGCAACTATTGAAATGGCTGACGTTTCAATTTTTATTTTGCTGGTTATTTTGTCTTTTATAATTTGTATATTTTTTCCAATACGGTCTTCTGTTTTCGTAACTCCTTTGTAATAAAATGTGTTGAAATTATCGGAATGATACAACAAAGTATTTGACAACTTAATGACACAATTTGAACATTTACCATACATGCAGATTTTATTAATTTTGCAGCAGATGGCTTTTAATAACTCCGAAACTGATTTTAATTGTACAACTTTTAAATAAACTAATTTTTCAAATAAGATTTTAAATTTGATACACAGTTAGTTTTTGAGGTACGATCCAAAACGGTTTCATACGGGCAAAAGAACTGTAAGATAGCTTGGCAGAAGTAGTATCAGTAAATTTCTTATGAAGCTCTTTGATGTTTCCTATTAAGTACCTTTTTTGCTTCTTAGTCTGATTTCGGGTAATGCAGTCTCTGTTTCCTAGCGCTAACATTGAATTCTCATCATCTTCGAAAAACTTAGTGACCAGCTTTCTAAACGCATGGACGTTTTCCTTAATTTTTCTTCTGTCCATTCCGCTTCTTTGCATATGAGGACTCGCTATTCCTAATTTTCCGAATTCTGTAATAAATTTGTACTTTTTTATAAATTTTCCTTTCACACATCTCGAAAACGTCTGTTTTTCACCCTCAGTTTGAATAGTCTTAGCATTATCTCTTATTTGTTTAGTTAATGTTGCCCCAAATAACAATTTTTTTCTAACTTCCAGGATCTCCTCGTTTAATTAAGTCGTCGACTTCTTTTCTAGGAGTGGGACTGGTCTAGCGTTAACAGCTCGGTAATACTTTTCATTCCATTTTTCTCTGTTCTTTCTATATCTTTTTTTTCAAAAGCAATACTTCTTGCCGCTTTCTTTCAGTGTTTTGCTTTTGTCTTCGCCTTCCTGAATGCTGCCTTCTTGAACTAATTTATACAATTCTGCGATTAACGCTCTTTTCTAACGGCAAGGGAGAAGATGGTGGAGTATTGTCATTGATAAATTTCTCTGTTCTCACTCATTTTTTTTTTTTTTATAATATCTATTTGATGCTTCCATCCATTTTTCCTCTGCTTGTTTTTTTCACGTTGTCCCATATCACCTATATTTTTTAGCTGCTCTTTTTCTTTTCTCTTTCGATTTCGTTCACGTTCAAATTAGCCTTTTCCGACCTTTCCGGATCAGCAGCAACGCGTTATCTGTATTTCCTCTTTTTCTCTCTCCATTTCTCTCTTTGTGCATCAATCGCAGCTTGCGTCACGTTTCTATGTCCTTTTTCTTGGCGTTCTTTTGTTTCTTTTCTTCGTCCTTCATGTTGTTAGTGCTGTCATTTGTATTTTTAGGATTTGTTGAGGTTTTCATTGACTTTAGGTATCACACATTCTTTTTTATTTTTGTTTTGCTTAAGCCTTTTTTTAATAGCACTCCTAGATGGTCCATCATGCTGACCAGACGACTTTTTAAGTTCAATGGCTCTTTCCTTTCTTTTTTGTTTTAACTTCTTTGTTTCCTTCATTTTTAGTCGATTATCATGTGTTTCTTCTTTCATTCTTTTAAGCTTTGGTAAGACGTTTAATTTCCATTTATCATAAACGTTGTCTTCATTCATGTTAACTCTGGAATTAAAATGGAACTGTTTTTTTTTGGGACGACTTATTACCGTAGATATATTTCTCATGACCGTCTTTTTGTATATCAAACCCGTCTACCCTTTATCAGGACCGTCCACCCCTAAAAAGTAGACGGTAATGATATAAACGGTAAGGAGAACTCGCTAGATAAATATTTTGCTATTTGGCAAAGGCGTATCCTCCCGTTTTAAAAGATGTTTGAGGTTATGTCACTGAATTTCGGCTTAATTTTTATTTTAAATTATTACACATCAGAAATAGACCCTATGGACCGTATTGAATACCATGATGACAGAAATACTTAAATGCTACATTTTTAAATAAAAGAATGAAGTACTCATCTGTTTCTATTCACAAGTTTATTGCACAACACATAAACAAACTACTACACACGCCATGATGGAGGGAACTGGTGATTCAGCCGCCTAACGGCAAAATAGGCTACTAAATTTGCGGGGTACGGTCAGGAGAATTGAATATCGGGACTAAGGTTCTTCTTTTACTGGACTGGTTTATAATAATTGTTTTACTGTTTGACACTTAACAATTAATAGGTGAATATGTTGTAAAAATGGACAAACAGAAAGTATTTCATTTAGACCATGAAAATATAATTAAAAGTGTTCCGATCTAATAAGATTTTTCTATCGGGACCTAAGACGGCCATGAAGAAAAGGTAAGATAAATATAGATATTTCAAATTCTAGATAGTATTTTGCAAATGTAACATTAGTTTTTTTTTTTAGAAACAAAGTAATACAAACGATCTTGTAAAAAAACGCAGTCTTTTTGTCATTAAATGAACATAAAAAGTCCCAGGGACAAAGATGTTAAAAATATTTGAGAATTACCCATATATCCGGGAAAAAAGTCACTTTTTTCCCGGGAAAAGGAGAAAAAAGTAATTTCATAAAAAATGACATTTTGTTACCTGACAAGAGAGATAAAATGTCAAACTTTTTTCCTCTCACAGAAAAAAAAACTTTTTATCCAGCCCAAAAGTTTTTAATTACTCACTATCAAATAGAAGTGTTTTAGGTACGCCTTAATTAAAATAACAACTAATTATTTTTCCAGTTTGTATTTAATTTGTCTGAGAATATGATTTCTGTGTCACGTGACGCTGCTTTCGACCAATCGAGTTGACTAATTTTTATTGTTAATAAGTGACAATACTATAATGTTGCATTATCGCTGTGTTGCACGTGACTGCGAAACAAACTTCTTTCAAAACAAACCTTTATCTGTCAGTTGTCATATGATTGTCATTATACTCATTATAAAATAATTACGATTGTACGCTTAAATATCGATAATTTTTTTGAAATCCTAACTCGTGACAGTCCCAATCTTTGGAAAATACAACTCGTGCGACGCATTCGTTACATTTTCGTCGTTGGGCCTGATTTTCGTGTTCGAAAAATTGTCGATTATAATCGTACCAATGATATTATTCCTATGCCATTTCCTTTTACGACACATACAATTTGTTGAAATTCATGCATAACATCCGAAAAATCAAATTCTTATTAGTGTTTATTTCCAGCTTTTGTTGGTTGGGTACACCAACATCTAAAATCAAGTCTAATATAGTATAGGTATGTTGTAACGACTGTTACGACCGTTTTTCTCATCTCGCCGAGTCAAGGCAAGGTAGTAATTATAAAAAAGCCGGCTGGAGAGTCCTTGTGAAGGTTTATCGTTTCCTTTGTTATTTTTTTTCGTAATAACATGTAAGGCGTACTACTGCTCGAAGTATCCGGCTATTGTCTCCCCTTTTTGGACCGTGGTCAACCATCGGCGTCCAAATGAGCCACTGGGAGAAAAAGGGAGTGTTTTCCCCACATAAACGGCAATTTTCTAACTCAATTTTATTGTAATATAGTTTATAGAACTTTGGACTCATTATACAACAAATGTTTTCCGGATATTGACCAACCTGTGTTAAGATTATTATGTTCTGCTATGTCTGAATTCTTCCCAGCCTCATTACACCAATTTTGATTTTTCTTGGCATTTTTTAGCGCTCCAAAGGTTACTTGGCTCTCTAGAAATCTATTACAATATCAAACGTTACAGCGCAAGTCTAGCTGTATATTTGAGTTTTCCTTTTCTCTTCATTGTTGTATTAATAATTAAAAGGGCATTATTGTTATTGTCATATACTTAGTTATCTTTAAACGTTTATAAAATATTTACAAAAATGTGTCATCAGGACTTCACTTTTAACACTCTGTATCTCAAAAACTAAACGTTTTTGGCCCTATATCTGTATGAACTTTTACTCCTATTTTAGAATGTAGATTACGGTGTTAAAATATGACCGTCTAATTTCGGGACATCCTGTATATTGAGACTGTATAGGTTAAGGGTCATATTGTGAATCTGGTGTTCAAGAACGAAATTATTAACTATTCATTAACAAAAAATAACTAAACTAACAATTATACTACCAGTTTCTTGTACATAGTCTTCAAGAATACCCGTATCTCACGTGATCTGGTAAAACAGGAAATTGAATTTTTTTAATGACCTATGAAACTTAATTATCATTTCTGTCAATTACGTGAGTGGCATTGTTTTTGAGGTTACCGCTGAACTTTTTAATTTTACTAACTGCACTGATAACATTATTTACTTGACGAATCTCTTTAATTAATTTGAGGTTAATCCATTATAATTAACTACTAGTTAAAAATCGAACAAACATACATATTTAAAATTAAAAAAAAATATCATAGCCATGTATCACAAAATAATACAAGCGACCGTTTCCCTCCGGAAAACCACTACACCTTTGGCTAATATCACAACGGGCACTGAATTATATTCAATCAAAAAGAAAATTATTTTCAACACTCTTAACTTTGAATTAACTTATATAAAGGAGAACATCATTATTGGACCGGTTTCGTCCTTATTATGACTCCTCAGCAAGAAATAGATTCCTATCTCTAATGGAACCTAATAGAATTATCTTGTATACCTGAATGATGGTTGAACGAGATTATACTTAGTAAGCAAAATAAAAGACAGACGGGCAATGTTTTTGCCTTTTATTCCATTCTTACAAAATGTTATTTAGCATTCGTAACAGTGACTAAAAAAATGTGTTATGTCAAGAAATTTGGCGTTCATACTTGAAAATATTTTCTCATTTGATTGGTTTTATCAAAAAAATATGAAACACTGTTGAAGAAGTCA